TGGGCTATGTCAGAGTAGCCGGGGGGGTGGTCCATCACTCCCTCTTTGTTGCAGCCCCCCCTGAGTCCTTCTGTGATGGCCTCCCAAGTGATCGTGTCTGGCTTAGGTTGCCCCCCTTCTGAGGGGTCTTACCCGTCATGGACTATCAACCATGCATTGGGGGCAGGAAAGTAATCAGAGCCAGCATTTGCTACCAGAGACAAGCTTTGTCTCCTTGTGGCTCGCATTCTGGAGGTTGCTCACTCAGCCTTATCTGTGGGAGATGGTTGCAATTCCTGAAACCAGTCAGAGCAGTTCCCAGCACTGGCAGAAATGAGGTGAGAGACAAGGCTGCAGAGATTAGTGGTGGTTGCATGGGGGTGGGCCAGATAAACTGTATTAGGTGGTTTGAGCCTAATGCAAGAACCCACCAAACCAGTTACTGAAGTATTTTTATATTGGATGGGGATGACAAGCTTGACTTCTACAGATGGCTTTTAGGTATTATAATTCATACTCCATTCTATTACAAATGCACACTGGAAGGTGATACAGTGGTGAAAGGCTTGACTAGGAAGAGTTAGGACCTCATTTCAGTAAAGATGCTAAACATATTAATTACTCTTTTATATCTTCCATGGATATTGCTCTGTGCCTGAGGACAAGATGTGGAAGCCGCTTGCAAATCACTGGTCATAAAAGTAATGGAATAGTAGCTAAGTACAGAGTATTTTTGTTATCCATCTGAAAGAGGGAGAGCACACACACTGACACAGCTACACCTGGAGGCAAAATTATTTCTCTCTCCAATATTTTCTTTCTTAAAAGTATAAAGTTGTAGGGGTTCTATTAAACTGCACTGATGTAGTTAGCATCCATTTATTAAGCACTGACCATCTGTAACATACCTACTTGGCCTAGGTGTTTTATTTATGACATTTCTTGTAACCACACTTTAGAGATGATATTGTTAAATCACGAGGAGGTGGAGGTAATAAGCGAGCAGCAGAATTGTGTCTCCAGCTCCAGGGCACTTGATTCCCAGCTCATGCAAGCACTTGACCTTGCTCCACACTTCACATTTACTGAAGAAGACGTATGATTTTCTTTGCAGTGTACTTGTAGTCAACGGTTAAGTGGAGCCATTGCGCCTGCAGGAATATCTCTAATTTCCGTACTTTTTAAGCTGAAGTAGGTTTACTTCGAGCTTAGACAAGTTGCCTGAACTTCAGTATTCTCTGCCTCTTCTTTTTAAAGAATTGAGATGTAATTGAAGTATATCATATTTTTAAGTTTATGGTTTATAATGTGTTGATTTGATACACTTATATATTGCAATATGATTACCACTGGAAGTGTTAGCTCTCTGTGCATAATTATCAATGCCTTTTTTATAAAAGATTTAATTTTTCTTATTTTTAGAGAAAGGGGAAGAGAGGGAGAAAGAGAGAAAGATAAATAATGAAACAATGTGTGGTTGCCTCTCATACTCCCCCACTAGGGACCTGGCCCGTAACCCAGGCATATGCCCTGACTGGGAATTGAACCAGCAAAAGTTTGGTTCACAGGCTGGCACTAAATCTACTGAGCCACACCAGCCAGGGCTTAGGCATTTGTTTCTGATTCTGGGTATCATTGTGGCCAGTCTGCCTGTTTGTCAGGTAAAAGTGAAGACTGGTAATTCCCAAGGCAGTTTAGAATAATTAAGATTGTTGAATTGTTAACATTTAGGATTAAAAAAACAAACTGTTTTGGTAAATTTAAAATCAACTAGGTTATTGATGATAATTTTTAGGGTAAAAACTCAGATAATCTGAAAATTTAATTCTTTGCGCACTTCAAAAAATATTTTACTCCCAAGAGAAATTTATTAAGTTAATTTGTTCTTTTCTGTCAATATAGAAAATATGTTTATTCTTTGAAGTAGTTCATTTGTAATATTTGTAGAAAGTGAACTGATTTATAGATTGCTTTGTAAACTTAATAATATGTTTGAAGTTGAGCAAAGATGGTATATGTCAAAAGGGATTTTCTCCCTTAAACTTAATGAAGTCTCCAAAGAGGAGTGACCAATTTTAAAAATCACGTTAGAGCTTTCTAAATGTTTGATTTATTTTCCCCAAGAAAAAGAAGAATTATATCACTACTCTCTGATAGTTTTCTTCAAAGAACATCAAAGCAAATTAATTCTTTGAGGTATGTTTGCCTGAAATTAATATTTATAATTCTGTTAGTGCTTATGTGTGAGAAAACATATTCAGAAATTGTATAGTCTACAATTGGACATTACTTAAAGAATACACAGGTTACAAAGTGCTTTTGCATCTACATTTTTATTCAATATATAAGATAACTTTGTGATTTAAATAGTTATTTCCTTTTATAGACTTTCAAGGTCCAGCGATTAGTAAGAGGCACAGCTGCTGTAGCTTTCTTATTTTTATTAGCACACCACATAATAATGATTTATACTGAAATTAATAGTGTGGCTGCTTTGTTCTCCTTTTGCATATAATAAATGTTTTGAGTGAAGTGTTTGCCTGTAATCCATGGATTCTTTTATTTTTCTTTGTCCTTGGCCGCTTTAATTATTTTGGGGATGAGCAGTTTTAATTATTGTCTCTTTTTAAGATGGAACTTTTATCTCCTGAGTCCTTTATCTGCTTATGGTCAGTTTCTCATCTGCATTAGTGATTTCTCATTTTTCAGTTAGAAAGGCAAACTTGTCAGAGGGGAGGAGAATTGGGGAACTGGGGGAAAAGGTGAAGGGATTAAGAAGTGCAAAATGGTAGCTACAGAATAGTCACAGAACACTGATCACAGCATAGGGAATCCAGTCATAATATTGTAATAACTATGTGTGATGCCAGGTGGGTGCTTGAAACACTGGGGAGAGCACTTCCTAAAGTACACAATTTTCTAATCACTATGCTGTACGTCCGAAATTAACAGGAGAAAATCGAATGTAAACCGTAATTAAAAAAGAAAATAATATAAAAAAGATCACTGTTGAGAATTTTCTCCTTCTGTTGAGTTTTTGTTTGCTTATTTTTGATTTTCTCTAGTGAAAGGTTGTGGGCAAAGAGGGAGCAGTGGAGTGACGTAAGCGTGGAAGGGAGCGTCCGGTGAGTAGTGAAGGGACAATGGGGAAAAGGTATGGAAATGAGTCCCCTTGTAAAGAGGGACTGGCCTGATGGAAATGTGTCTGATATGTTTGTGTGGACACGTTACTTGGCAGGCTAATCTTTAAAAAAAATTATGTTAATGTATACATAACATAATATCATTTTAACCATTTATAAGCATACAATTCAGTGGTATTAAATACACTCATAATATTATGTGACCATCACTATTTTCTATGCCCAAAACTTTAAAAACATTCCCAACATAAGCTCTCTACCCATTAAATAATAATTTCCCATCTCCCCTCACCCCTGTACCTGATAACTTCAATTCTGTTTTCCACTTCTATAAATTTGCCTATTCTAGGTATTTTACATAATTAATCATATAATATTTGTCCTTCTGTGCCTGTAATTTCACTTTGAATGTTTTCAAGGTCCATCCATGTATGGAAATTTCGTTCCTTTTAATGGTTGAATTGTATGTGTGTACCACTTTCGTTTGTCCATTATCTGTTCTCTTGTTTGTTCATTGTCCATTCATATATACCTCAGAGTGCACTTCCTGGGTTACATGCTAGTTCTATATTTAAATTTTTCTGGAATTGCCAAACTCTTCCATAGAAGCTTCAACCATTTTACATTCTCAAGAGCAATGCCCAAGGGTGTTAATTTCTCCACAAAGTTGATGGCACGTAGCTAACAAACAGGGCATATATGTGATTGTTAATGTATTGTACTTGAAATTGCATGTTTAAAGCAAACCCTCAAACAGAAGAAATCACTAAAAGAAATGCAGTGATTACTGTTGCTGTAGCAAATCAAGACTTTTTAAAAATTGAGGCGTAATTGACATATAACCTTATTTTAGTTTTAGGTGTACAATATAATGATTCAATATTTGTATGCATTACAAAAAGATCACTGTAAGGCTAGTGAACATTTTTCACATTACATAGTTAAATTTTTCTTTGTGATGAGAAATTTTAAGATCTACTCTCTGATCAACTTTCAGATATGAAATACAGTGTTACTAACTACAGTTACTATGCTGTACATTACATCACCTTTACCCATTGTCTCTCTATCCATTTCTCCTATCCTTCACTCTGCAACAAATTATAAACGCTTTGAGAGGATAACCTGATGTAATATATAGAAATTACACAATGGTGGTGATGACTCCATGATTATTATTATTATTATTATTATTATTACTACTACTACTTTGTGGCAGACCCTGTCCAGCAGAGTCCGCTTGTGGTTTACAATGAGAATCAATGCACAGGCGACAACGACCCTGTGTGGAAAAAGGGAACAGGCACAACTACTCCTTTTTATTTTTGGTTTAAAAAAAAATAAAATGAGGGGGGGAGATGTTTGGCTTTTTCTTTTTGTTTTGGTTTTTGGGGTTTGTGGGCGGTTTGAAGGTCTGGCTCCTGCCCACCACTTAGCATCTGTAGGTTTTCCATACAGAGCTGAGTCACATTTGCCAGGCCAAGACAAAGTGGTCCCCTACACTACTTGAAATGGAAGTGTTGGTATTTGGATAGTAATTGATTTAATTCTTAATTTAAAAGTAATTTTAGACTTAATGAAAGGTTATACATGAAGTTCCTACATACCCTTCTCCCAATAACCCAGTATGGTTGTTGTACATAACAATAGTGCTGTCACAAACTGTAAAGGGTCTGAGGTTTTATCTTATCTGCAGGTGGACATGTTAGCCTGCCAGTTTAATGGGTGCTGGCAAAAGACATGAGATTCTTGGGTCAAAGACAAAGATTTTCTTTACTCATGGCACAGCACCTAGTGTGAGCTTCCTGTTTGACACTTTCCCTTGCTCTCTCCTCCTATCCTAAGTCCTGTAGGGGTTTCACAGAGGGGCCTAGGTAGATAGATGCTCTGCACCCAGTGGTTTTGCATCTTGGCTAAAGACCCCTGAATTTAGAGCTCCTGAATCTCTTGTAATGGTTGCAAGCAAACCTGCCCTTTGCTCCATTTGGAAGACATCTCAGTCTTCAAAGGCAGTTCACTATATAAACATCTTTGAAAACATAGTTGAGAACAAAAGCGTAGCTATTTCTGTATGTCATATGACAATGTTCGTAAGACGTACAGAAATACAAATGACTTATGGAGAATTATCTCCCAATGAGTTGTTATCTAAACTAAGAAATGAACATTGATGCAACACTATTGACTGCTTCAGAATCCATCAGTTTTACTAATGTCCTTTTGCTCGGGTCTAGGATCTAACCTGTGTTGCATTAATTGTCGAATCATCTTTGTCTCCTCCAGTTTGTGATGGCTCCTCAGGCCTTGAGGATGGCTTTTCATGGTCTTGATACTTTTGAAGAATACTGGCCAGTTATTTTCAGAGAGTGTCTCTCAGTTTGAATTTGACTCATAGTTTCTCCATCATTAGAATGAGGCTATTCCTTTTTGGCAGTGTGACATGTCTTTGTTAGCACAGAGTATGTGATGTCACTGTGGCTTGATGGGATTAACCCCAGTCACTTTGTGAAGGTGGCGTCTGCTGAGTTCTTTACTGGAAAGTTATCCTTTTCCCCTTTGAAATTAATAAGTATGTTGGAAAGGGGTTATTTTGAGACTATCCAGATATCCTGTTTTCTTCAAATTTCTGCCTGCTAATTTTTGCATCCATCAGTAGATCTTGCCTATAACAGTTATTGCTGTGGTGTTCTAATGATAATGTTCTACTTACATCATTATTTTTATATTTATTGATTGGAATTTTCCATATGGAAACACTGTTTCTTCCTATTTATTCAATTTATTTATGTCTGTATGGAATTATGGATATTTATTTTATCCTCTGGGTTATAATTCAGTGGTACTGTTATTTATTTATTTTTTCTGAGATTATTCTCTGGGGCCCTTGGGAGACCTTTCAGTTCCACTCCAGGACTCTTTTTGACAGGCTTATCTTTTCTTGAGAACTTGCTTTCTGGTGCACTAAGATGGTCCAGGCCACCCTGTGTTTTCCCCTCTCCCAGACTAAGATCTGGGCTGGAGGTTTGTCCATTATCACTGGGTATTGTGGGTAGAGCTAGAATATCCGTGTATATATCCTGACCCCTGTGTGCTTCTACATCTCTACTTTGGAATCTCTGTGTCTGTGTACATACGTAGTCCAATATATATACACACATATCATGAGTTCATCGAATACCACAGCAGTCATCCTGGCCTCTGTTCCTTCTTTATTTGTAACTTCTTCCTTTGACAGTGAGAAACCTTACTCTCAGTATCTATGGCATTATCAACAGCATATAGCATATTCTATTATCTATTTTATAGCATATATGGCATATCTTTGTCATATTATTTGCTTAATCCTAGTATGAAAAGACCCCCCAAAACCCAGTTTATTTATAAAAAATTGTGTATTTATTCTTACATGTTTAAAATTCAGTCACCTTCAAAGTGCTCTCCATTTGATTCAGTATGCCTATCGAGATGTTTTTTCCCACTACTCAAAACAGTCTTTGTACTTGTTGATTTTTATGCCTTTTAATGCTTCTGCTATTTTTGATTCACCTCTTCCACATTGACAAAATGTTTCCTTTTGAAGACTTTTTTCATCCAGGGAAACAAAACAATAAGTCACTCAGAATGAGATCAGGTGAATAGGGAGGTGGGTGGGGCATGACATTTTTGGTCAGAAATTGCTGAACACTCAGTGCAGTGTGGGCAGGTGTGCTCATAAATCACCCATCAGGAAATGGGCAAATGCATTGAAAGAGACTCTTCAAAAAAAAAATCCACTGAAGCCAAATGCAGCCTCTCACAACAACACCAGCTGGTACACTGACATAGATGGGTTCCTAGAACACTCACCTAGCAGTAGACGCCTACTACAAGGGGCCCACCCTCCAAAAGATAATTCTGTGTTTTGCGTGTTGCCTGTCCTTGTATACATATAACCTTTTCAGAATTATAACTCATACCACTGTTACTGATTGAATTTTAAATTTGTAATTCTAGAGATCTACTAGGGAAAACAGCCTACCAGGAGATAGATTCTAATGGTGGTTACTTTGATTAATTTAATGAACTTTGGTGTAGCTTTCGATTGTTTTCTTTCATAATTATTTTTGACTTTGTTTATATATGTACTAAAGAGATGAGACTGGTATTGTAGCACATCATCAACTAACTTATGTGTGTGTGATCATAAGGAAATGGTGAAAAGATTAAAAAACCACAGATTATTGAGGTGGCATCTATTTAATTCTTCTTCTTGAAAACATTATTTTTTTCTTAAAATACAAATGGTATATGATCAATAGAAACAGTTACCCATTATAGAAATATATAATGGAGTGTATATGGAAATTCCTCACAACCCTTTATGAGAAACCACAACCCATACACATAGATGAGGTAACTGTTTGATGCTTTTTAAACTTGATCATTTCATAGCCTTCTTTTGAGGTTGACTCTTGTAAATCTGGCAAAGTGGTAGAGAAACAGCCCGATCTAATTATATGTCTAGGAAACTAAGGAAGATACTAGGAATCTGTATCGTAGTATAAAGATAGCTTTTTGGCCACAGTATCAAGGAAAGCCAGTTACTGCCTCCAAACTAGAGCCTTTCATCCATAGGTACTGGGGGTATCAAAATGAATGAACTTGGCTATTGCCTTCAGGGGACTTTAAGGAGAGGACTTTGTATAAGCCAATTGTGTGGTAATTATAACATGAATCATGTTTTAGGAGGACAAAGGTGGGAGGGACCCACTACCTGGATCTTCACAGTGGAGGTGGTATTTATTTGTCCTCACCTGAGAACGTTTTTCATTGTTTTTAGGAAGGGGGTGGGGGGTCAGGATGGGTGAAAATGGAAAAGGAGTAGCAGGGTGGTAGGGGTGGGGATCAGACCCCCAACCTAGGTTTGTGCCCTGACTGAAAATTGAACTTGCAACCTTTTAGTTTACAGGATGATGCTCTAAGCAACTGAGCCACACTGGCCAGGGTGTGTAGGTGGTATTTAAACTCTTCTTTAGTATCTGGCTTTTTTCAGTGCTATTACTCTGTATTAATTGAAGTTGTTTTCTAACCTTCACTTTGCCATCTTTCTAATTCCGTTTCAGAAAGTTAATTCAACTTTTAACATCCGGGTCTGCTTATTTCATTCTTTTTCTGGAGACCTTCCATGCTTACATTTTAGATAAAGAATGGAGTTCAGAGTCTAGAGTGACATCCACAGCCCTGCAGGTCAGACTTCTGCTTGCCTGCTCATCTCTTTCTCCACCATATCCTTCAAAAACCCCTTCTTCAGGTACTCAGAACTACTTCCCAAAACAGTTGTTTTTTATGTTTTGCTGTATGCCTTTGTCCTGTTATTCTCTCTGTATCAAATGCTTCTTCCTCATCTCTGATGTCTGAAATCCTCTGTTTCCAGGTCCAGCTCAAATACCTTGATCATCCTTTCCGCTGTCTTCCAAGTTTGAAATGTTTCTTTTGCTAATTTCCGTCTATTTTTTCTGCAGTACTGTTGGTTCCTGCAGCTTGGCCTTTGTGTATTTATTCTTGAATCTTTAACCACATATCCTTAATTACCTGTAGTCATTATATACTGGAGAATTTTATGAGTGTTTTGGCTTCTATCTTTTACTTCTTGATCATCTCTTTCAGATGCTTCAGGTTTATTTGTTTATCTCCAAATGTTTTAATTCTGGTACAGGGCCTTCTGGGACTGAAGACATCTACATAAAATTATATATTAAAACTTTTCATTGAACATTAAATGTTTATATGGAATTGACAAAAAGTATTGATTAAGGGCATGCATTTTTGAATTAGACAGAACTGGGTTCTAGCCCAAGCTGTGTTTACTTTTGAGAAATGTACTTAACCTGTCTAACCTTGGTTTCTTTATCTATAAATTAGGGCAATAATGCTACTTTCTTCAGCAGGTTTTTATGGGAATTAAATGAAGGTAAAGTATTTAGCATGGTGTATGTAACATGTTAGGATAGTAGTTTTTCTTTTTTTTTAAAATTTTTTTATTCATTATGCTGTTACAGTTGTTCTATTCCCCCCCTTCATTCCCCTCCACCCTACCCGCCATCCCCACCATTACCCCCCCTTTAGTTTATGACTATGTGTTTCAAGTCCTTTAGATTCTATATTTCCTGTGCTATTCTTGCCCCCGCATCTATTTTCTATCTACTGTCCATGCTACTTATTTTCTGTACCTTCTCCCTCCTTCTCCTCCTCCCGCTCCCCTGTTGCTAACCCTCCTTGAGATCTTCATTTCTATGGTTCCACTCCTGATCTAGCTGTCCTTTTAGTTTGCTTTTGTTTTAGGTGTGGTTGTTAATAACTGTGAGTTCGCTGTCTTTTCACTGTTCATGTTTCTTTAACTTCTTTTTCTTAGATAAGTCCCTTTAACATTTCATAGAATAAGGGCTTGGTGATGATGAACTCCTTGAATTTGATCTTATCTGAGGAGCACTGTATCTGTCCATCCATTCTAAATGAAAGTTTTGCTGGATAGAGCAATCTTGGTTGTAGGTCTTTGGATTTCATGAGTTGGACTACCTGTTTCCAGCCCCTTCTTGCCTGTAAGGTCTTTTTTGAGAAATCTGCCGACAGTCTGATGGGGACTCCTTTGTAGGTGACTGTCCCCTTATCTCTTGCTGCTTCTAGGATTCTCTCCTTCATTTTAATCTTGGCTGATGTAATTACGATGTGCCTTGGTGTTTTCCTTCTTGGGTCCAACTTCTTTGGTACTCTCTGAGCTTCCTGGATTTCCTGGAAGTCTATTTCCCTTTGCCAGCTTGGGGAAATTCTCCTTTATTATTTGTTCAAATAAGTTTTCCACTGGTGGCTGTTCCTTTCCCCCTTCTGGTACCCCTATAATTCGGATGTTGGA